ATCCATGGCACGACACTGGCCCGTATAGGCTCGAGTCATGGATCGTGCCGAACCGACCCCCCAAATTATCCTAGAGGAGGGAGGCATGGCCCGGGGTGCCTCATGGGCCAGCATGGCACGACTCGCACTTTGTGCGGGCCACATGCAGGTCATGTCGTGTCGACCCAGCACGATCCAATTTACACCTCTACTTGAACCCACCCAATACTGAGGACGGGGCAGGAGAATTTGAGGATTCTCTGTCCTTGATGAGGAGTGGGGTGCCTTGCCCCTGAACTCACTCGACATTGAGGAGTGTCTTGACTATGGAGCAGGGAAAGGGATGGGGTGCCTTGCCCTGAACCCACCATGTTGTCATTCTTATATAATTGTTAATTATTAGTGAAATTAATAAAAATGTTAGCTTTTATAATTATTTTTATTTATTTAAAATTAATCAAAATTTCATTTAAAAATAATAAAAGAATAAAAATTATTAAAATTACTACAAATTATTAATAAAACTAAATATATTAAAAAACATTTGTTCATATTCAATTAACAACAATTATTTTTTATAAATCAACATTAAATGAAAAGTAAAATTATTAAATCTTTTAGATTTTTTCGTGCATCGCATCGCATGGTCCCTACTAATTTAATTTAAAGTGGAAAAGAATTGATGTAATGAATATCTAGAAATATAATAATAGATATTTTTTTTTTCATTTTGCATTCTAATTAATAAATTAATAAAAAAGTCCTAATTGGATCAATTACGAAAGGTCTGTGGATAAGCTACCTATCCTATGGCTAATCTGAACCGTCCACTAGATTGGGAGTTTCGTCTAAATTGTCCACTTCTGCACTTCCCTTGTCTCTGTACCAAAACTTTTTTTTTTTTTGGAGATACTTCTAGTACAAGCCATCCAAGAAACTAATAATTTGCAACATGGTTTTTAAAACCGAACCGGTCAGGGGTCCGGTTACTGGGTCGAACGGTCTGGCCGTTCAACTCGAATGGTCAGCCTGTTCTGACAAAATAAATAAATAATTTAAAAATTAAAAAAATTGAAAAACAGTTAAAACCGTTCGAACGATTAACTGGCTGGTTCAGTGGTTTGCTGACCAAAATCAACGATTTTAGGGAAAAAAGCAGTTTTGGGAAAAAACAGAACCGGTCAGGTGACCGGTTTCCAGTTTTTCCAGTCCAACTGTTCGGTCCGGTCCAGTTTTGAAAACCATGATTTGCAATTATGAAATTTGTACATGCAGTTCGGTTTTGATTTCTTTGTTTCCAACCATGATTTATATATTATTATTTGATACAAAATTTGTACTTTTTTGTCTACTGGCAGTGCAAATTTTGCATCCAAAAAACTGTTGCACTTTTTTTTGGTATTGAACTGTTACAAAATTTGCTGCCCCTTCTTCCTACGTCAATTTTTTAAAGTGGGGACCACAATCATCATGCCTAGTACCTCACCTCACTCCTAAACAGAACAGATAATCCTCCCAGTTCAATTGTCTTTCACTAGTCGCTTCATTAATAATTTACTTCCTATTTCACTTCTCACATACAAATAAGAGAAGTCAAATATGAAGCAAACTAAACTAGAATTTCCATTCGATGGCCTTATTTGCAATCTCATGCATTTACACAAGTTCAAATGAAAATTGTACTGCAAAGCAAAGTGCAAACACAACTGAACCAATAGAACTATGAAATGATTCATGAGCCGATGACTCAAAGAGGCCGAGACGAGTCAAAAATACCTGAACCAGTGAGCTAGCTACTACAGACCAAATCAAGGAGGATATAATAACGTATATTTCACTAGGCAGAAATCACTTAAAAATATAGATAGAAGTAGAATTTACCTTATCATGCATATATGTATATAAACTAATTGTGTTGTTCTCCACAGCTTATGCTTATGCTAGGCAACTGATGGTGATCGACAAGCTTCACTCCACCTTGGCGAACATGATTGGCCTAGACAATATCTTAGCGATGCCATCTTCATATACCTGAAGTCTCTGTAATACCTCCAGAAAAAAAAAAAAAAAAAAACATAAAACCCTGAGCAAGTCTTGAATACGATCGATATTGATTCAGCTAAACTAAACACTTATTGGCCAGATGATTTAGTAGAAGTTTGTTCGTTGGTCGTGTATCTGAAGAAGAAGAAGAAGAAGAAGAAGAAATGAATGGTACAGTGAAGAGAATCGAGAAGAGAGGAGGCCATCAGGCCATAGTATATATTGTGAGATCATAGTTTGGTCATGATAGAGCCCAAGACCTGTACGACGGGCGGTCCGACGTGTCCATCAGTGGGCATTCAGTCCAAAGCTAAGGTTTAATCTTTGTTTTTTGTATATTAAGTGCAGCTGGTGACTGACCTGACCTGACCTGACCTGACTGGTAGTTGATTCTTGAAGAATTAATGTGCCCAAGAGAAAGGCCACATGCATTCATTCAACATTCACGGGATCTGCTCCTGACAAATGGGCGCCTCACATGCACATGTGCGTGTGAGGAGCAGATCCGGTGTAATATATATAATAATGCGAAATTAAACTAGTAATACGTAAGAAAAATGGTTCAGCATCTTTTTTTCCTTGAATTCTGCCCTTTCCACTCATGCATGAACAACTAGCAAGAAACAGGCTACATGCATAGTGCATAACTACCATTCAAGGCTTATATATTCAGAATATATGCAATTATGCATGCATCCTTTTAATATTAAATAGAAAAGTAGGACAACAATTGTGGGCAAATCCCACAGTATACGAGACTACTTTATCTTTTGCCTTTATATCTTCTTTATGTGGACTGTGGATATGCCCAAATCACTTTTCTCTGCTTATAGGTCTCAAGTCTCTACTTTGTTTTGTACTTTTATTTGAAGTAATCAACAAAAACCCAATACTGTCCTCCTGGTAATAGAGAAACCAATGTCCAATTAATGATCACAAATGGTCCGCCCGGCTTTCGGGGCTTGCAGCATTTGTAATTGGGTGATACACATACTTGGTCCAGGGGAGGTTGGGTTGGTCCAATTTCTTTTAGCCCTTTTCCTTTTAAAACATTTGCACTTCTCATACTTGGGAATTGGGATTAGCCAAAACAAAATTGATGCTCACTGATGTTGAACTAGAACAACTAGTTTTGTCCGTTTGCACCACCACATCTCTCTCTTTTACTTGAATTGGAGATAACACCATGTTTGTTTGATTGTTTCTGCTGGTTCTTAACTACCATTACCACATTATTATAAATTAAACCAAATGTTAATGATTTATGAAACATACTAGGAATAGGAAGAAAGGTGTTCTGAACGCATTTTCTCTGTAGAAAAATATATTTATATATGGAGAGAGAATGGCTGGAGGGTTCCATTACTTCTTCTTTTCTTACAGCATTTCCTCCAAGCCTAATGAAATTCTGTCCCCTGGGTTCCTCTTGATCTAAATTATTTGTTTTGTAATGTTACGGGAGTGAATCTTATCCATTTGATTTATGTTGTGATTGCCCAGGTGTTTTTTTTTTTTTTTTAATGGGCTATGAAGTTTTCTCTGATTCTAATTCTACAGTGTTCTCTCTGTCTATGTCTCTGTGAATAATTATGTCCAATCACCTTATTTAGAAAAAGTAAAGCAGAAAGAAAAATTATCCATCCTGATTTTACAAAAACAATTTTGCCCGTTCTTCTCAAGATGTTTGCCTTTTTAGAAAGCAATACCATTTTATTTATTAAGACATTATTAATTGATTCTCCTCAAAATTAAAGACAAATTTGCCACCATTGGTTCTGGTCAGTGGTCAGCATTTGATATTTCCTTACCTGAAACAAAACTTTAAACCCTTGGAGTTGAACTCTAGTTGCTGTCCAGATTCCAATCTTCAGTTCTTTCGCGTCTAACCTTCTAAACTAAACGACTATTTATTTATTTTGTAACCGAGCTAAATAACTAGGTAATAGCTAACCAGATAGCGATGGAATAAATGGTTATAGTTTATAGAGATAAAGTGTATTTAGAAGTAGGCTTGACTTCATGACTTGAGTCCAGTCGACCCAACCTTAGTTTTAATTTGAATTAGGGCGGATTCCCTCTCACAAAATTGGTTCTCACATCCTCTACAGCACATTGGAAACATATCCCTATTTTTGTATGTTTTCAAGTAGACCGGATCTGTTCCTCACATAGGACGCCTCACACGCACATCCTATCATGCATTGGGAATATTTCCCGTAATTATAGTTAATTTTCATGGGAGATGTTCCAAATGCATGGTGGATGTGCATGTGAGGCGCCCAAGTGTGAGGAGCAAATCCTGTTCTGTTTTCAAGATTGGCTTCAATGCTCACAAGATCCATTTTACAGCATGCAAGCTTCAGGTACAACATGCAAGCTTAACAACCTCAGTTTGGATTTGACTGTTTAAGGCCTTAGGTAAACCTACCTAACCTAAGCACGGAATTATATAAAGATTCCACCCATCAACAAAATTACATAAGGATTTCGTATTTTGTGTATCTCTAATAATTCAAAACAATATTTGCAATTTTCAATCTTTGATTGATCAAGTGAGGAGTAAAACCGACCCAAATCCACCCAACCACACTAATAAATCTGAGTTATAAATATGTGTAGATGGGGTTGGGGAAAAAAGTCTAGAGGCTGTTCAACACTTCCACTGTTTTGGGTTGGGCCAAGGGCCCAATACAATATTACCCAAGTTGTAATATATAGTAATAAAATTTAGGATAAAATACAGACAACTACCCTATACTTTGGGGTAATGACACTCGGTCCACACTTTTATTTGCAATAGAGAGCTAAGCCTATCCTGTACTTTCAGGTTCCGACGCTCAGGGAGTAAAGTGTCAATAACCCATTAAGTGGGTAAGATGGATCAACAATTCAACAATCTGGGTCAACAATGGGTTGAATAAACTGCTCAAAAGCACATTCTATAAACAGGATAAATAATTTAAATAAACTTTTATCAGTAGCAACCAGCAATAGCAGGACCATTCATTGTTCTGTATTGTGGACAACAATGAACACATTATCCAGAAAGACTTTATTCCTTGTTCATAAATAAAATAATTATTAGTCATTACTTACAGATAAGAACAGTTGGAACCAGAAGGATCAAACAATTGGCAGGTTAGGAAAATGGAGCTTGCCAATGCTGGTGGAACCTTCTTAAATAATAGATAAACATCATCTAAATTCCTTAGACAATCAAATGCGCTCTTGAAAATAATTTACACTTGATAGCAAAATTTAAACCGGTGGAGCACATCCTTCCATCCTTATGCCAGTGAAACTCTGTTTTGTCCACAAGAACAACTTCCGATCAAGGAGTCATAAGAACTGTATTCGGTTTCTGAGATAAGGAATATTATACACATCACATAGTCCTCAAGATGGAGCTGCAGCTTTGAGCTACAAAGAAACCTATGGCATCTTATCAACCAATGACCTTTTGAAGCTCAGCGATCAACTGCATCCGAGTCACTGGTTCAACCTGCATTGGATTTCAACAATGACCTTAATGATTCTTTGAGATTGGAAAACAAATATAATACACAACATGAACAAAATCAGAAGATAGTTTACCTTGTCTAAAAGACCAGCAAGTCCCCTAGGAAGGGCTTGTAAATCTGATGCTGACCCACTAAGATTTGATAATTGATGCAATATCTTTTGTACCCGCAACTCCTGCAGATAGGTTTCATAGTTCCTTGGATCATCCTTCCATGTGAAGAAAACATTGTCATCCACCCAGGCATCTTCTACTCCAGCGGGTCTAGAAGCCAGGAACCACTTCTTGATCAAATCCATTGCTGACCTATGAGATAGCTGATCACCTGCAGCATCCCTCACTATCCCAATCAATGATCCCTCCGCAACTCTCCGGTGTAGCCTCCTGTAGAAGAATGACCTGGAGTTACCCCAGTCTACTACTTGTCTGACCACCCCTTTTGCTGCCATCCTGAATGAAGTATCATGCAATTCAGCAAATCGGGTTGCAATCTGAGTGTACACTGGTAATAGCTGCTTCTCACGGGATCTTATCTGTTGTTGTAGAGTTTCAACAGCTCCACAGGAACCACTACTTTTGGCTTCCTGAAGTCTTGCTTTCATATTGACCAGCTGTTGATCAAGCCTACCCATGCAATCTATCAGTTGCTTTTCTCTAAACTTGATTTCAATCATCCCTTCTGGCTCAAGAACATTTCCCTTGGCTGTCCTCTCAGCATACATTTCAATGTGGTCAGGATTGATCCTGCTATCCACAACAACCCATGCTCCACCACGAAGCTCACCCATCATGGGAATATACACAAATACAGGTTGCTTGTATGTTCGGAGGTTCTCCACAATAGTTGATCCAGCCTGAAGGATCCCTTCAAAGAGGTCCCTCTGCCCACCAGAGAAGCCTCTCCAGTTGGCAAGGATGAAAAGTGGGAGTTCTTCTCTGTTAAAATCCAACAATGCTTGAGCTGTCTTGGTTGCAGAATCTGGAAACCATACTTGACCCGCTTGAGGGACCACCCTCTCATGGGAATCGAGCTGACCAGGGTCTGCAGGGATAACTTGCATCACAGTCTGTGTTTCAACAGCAATAATTCCTACAGGGATCCCCCCAAGCCTTGCCCTTCCCGTTACCACAGTCCTTGCCCAACCTTCAAGAGTCTCCACAAAGCTATCCTTGTCAAAAATCCCCCCAAACCACTTTCCATTCCCATCCTGAATACCACAAATAGCTGCACGTGGATCACATGAGTTGTCAGGGAAATACTCAACAGGCCTCTCAGGAGGATCTGAAGGACCCAAAATGGGAAGGGGCCCGCCCACACATGGAGGCACATAGCTAAGCCAGTTCAGAATGGCTGTGACACCTTCAAGATCGTCTGAGACTGTAAGATGAACAACCCCATTGGTAGCCATGATTTTAGGTCCACCAAGTTGCATGTGGGAGCTATATACCTCCCGCCCAAGAAGCTTGTTCAGTGTAGGGAATCCTGTCAGAATAATGGGCTGATCAAGCCTCTGAATGCACCGCATGCCAAGACGAGCAAGATATGCACCTATCCCAACAGTTCGCCCTGTCACAAATGTTAATGTGAAGGTTTCCTTGTATGCCCTTGAGTAAGCAGCAGCAATAGCTCCACTGCCTGTCAAGTTTTCAACCCCCAATCCATCTTCCTTCCCAACAATGGTGTCTATGACCCATCTGGTTTCTCCAGTTTCTGTCTTTAACTCATGTGCTATCACAGATGATCCAATACATTCATAATCTTCAGGGGTTAAATAGACATACTGAAATCCACGCTCGGGATTTGATTCATCAGACCATCCAACTCTAAAGCATGCTCTTACTTCCTCAGCTGCTCCAATACGAGCCCCAGAGTTTGCAGCCAAATAAATTAGTGGCAGTTTCTTATCGCAAGCTAGATTAGTTACAGCAAGGAAGAATGCATCCTCTCTTGGACCAAAGGATCCAACTTGGAATGTCACATCATTTGCTACTATCAGAATGGTCCTTCCTTGTGGAAACTCTGGTGTAGACATCTCCATACTCCATGCTACCATACCAACATCATTGAGTGCAGGAGGGCGCTCTACAGAAACAAGAGGTGTACCCCAGTCACCCTGTTTTTCTGAAAACATGAGCTCTGTGACTTTGACAAGACCCTTATCTATGGGCTTGTTGATCTTGTTGATATCCATAAATTGGGAAGCCCATGACCGTTTCAAGGCTGTCTCAAATGCCTGCAAACATAATACTTGCTTAAAAGACCATCTTTACTACTTAAACAAGAATATTAAAGCATCAAGGTCCAGATGACAATAGAAAAAAAAATAAAAAGATAAGGCTTTACCAGTGGAAAATCATAGCAGTAAGTGGAGTTGGCTTTCCTCGCTGCAAAGCGTTTGCGATCAAGATTTGTCAGAGGCTGATAGCGTGCATTCACAGGCACACCATGCAAAGGACCTGAAACTGAGAAAGCTGAATGATAGACCACTTCATGCTTGTCAGTATGCTCCACTTCTCGGTATAACTGCAGGGTAGAACTGAGTTAGCAATGAGGAAAGGAATAGATGTGAACAGAAACCCTACTCACTTGAGAAGCATATGCTTTGTCAGTGAGATATTATATGAACAAACAAGGTTGACCTATCCTCACATTCTCTTGCATCTTCCTATTTATATTTTCTTTCATATGTGTTTGTGCATGTTGAGGGGGACCTTGGCACAATGGTTGGGTTCCTGCATTGTGACCTGGGTGACCAGGGTTCAAATCTTGGAAGTGGCCTCTCTGTATTTGCATGGGTAAGGTTGCGTACATCTGTCCCTCCCCAGACCCTGCATTGGTGGGAACCTTGTGCGCTAGGCTGCCCTTATGTGTTTGTGCATGTTATGGTAGTGTCTAGCAACCACTCTACTATGGTCAACTGCCAGCTGGCTGGCCGATCTAGAGAATTTAGTTTGAGAACCACATCTTTGAGAAACACAAAAGAGGACACTAAAACATATACCAAGCAAAAATGAGATAACTTCTATGAACCCTAAAATATCTCTGTTTAGGTCTTAGTTGTAGTTCTTGATTAGTAAGTTAATTATTTTTTATCAGAAATTGGATAGTTAATGATCTCCTAAGTAATGATTTATAAGCTATTTATCTGGATGACTACCTATTAAATTCAGGAAGAAATCCTAAAAATCATGCTTCCTTCCTTTTCGTGTCCAGATAAGCTTGCATCAGCTCATCCAGAAGGAAAATTCTCAGTTGGAGTAGCCTACCATATTGGAAATACTGATGAGGAAGTCAAGTGGTTTGTTAGGCTGGACTCAAGTCAAGAGGCTTGTTAGGCAGATCTAACAGAGAATTTTCCTTCCAATGCTCCTTGGAGTTTAATCTAGAGCCTTCCAATGGAACCTAAGAAAGAAAATCTTCCTTTAGAAGGCATGCTGCTATTCTTTATCAGAGAAGGAAAACCTTTGAAGATTATGAATGATCCAATTTGCTCCTTGTGTAATAAGGAACCTGACTCCATTCTTCAAGCTTTGTGTAATTGTGACTACACTCATTGTGTAAGGTTTGTAGCCAGATTTCTTTAAAGCTAGTGGAACAAAATGAATCATCTTTAGATGCGTGGATTATAAATTAGTTAGATGCAGTTGGTCTTAAGGAAAAGGGGAAGTTGGAGTTTCTATCCTTCATTGCTGAAATGGCTTGGAGTATATGGAACTCCAGAAATGATATGGTCTTCGATAGTGTGATACCTAACCCATGACGAGATCTTAATCTTGTTTGCAGGACCTATCAGAAGAAGATGAATATTTTGAGGCCAGAATTGCTGAATCACTGAATCCTATAGTGGAGAACAATCAGAAATCTGATTATGTATTTTTAAAACCACCAGTGCAAGGAATTGTTTGCATCAATGGTGGTTACAAAGGATGCAACTATGCAGCTCTTGGTGTGGTTATAAATCCAAGGGATGTCTATTTCAGTTAAATCCCATCTGTGCAAGGATTCTTTGCAAATAGCTGATGCACTGTTTCTACAAAGACATGCTTTTGTCACTTATGATGAAGGTGTCTAAGGTTTACTTCAAAATTAACAGCGAAGACCTGATTCTTAGCCTGTCAAGATCCAAGTTGACTGCCCAAGGGAGGCATATTTTTGTCCTAAAAGATATTATGCATATGTTGGAAAAATATCCAATGTTCCATTAGATGCACTAACAGACAAGGAAGGAAAGCAGCCATGTTGCAGCAGAAATGGGCTCTAAGACTCATGGATAATAGATTCTCAACCCTCAATGATGGCTATATTACATCCTTCAGAAAGAATGGATGTGGTTTTTGGGAGCTCTCATGGAATTCAGAGTAATGAGTAGTCCTAATTTTAGTCATACCATTTTTCCTTGCTGTTTATTTTAGTTCTTTTTATTGTTTTCTGTGTCTGTTCTCAGCAGTATGTTCTGATTTATTTTTAGTCTCAGTAGTATTGTTTTCTGTGTTTGTCCTAATTTTAGTCTTGTCCATTGTCTCCTCTGATTTATTTTTGAATGGAATATCTATTCAGAAAAAAAAAACCAGTCATATATTTGAAACATAATTAATCTGAATTTTCTCAATGATACTGAACCTGTATGATTCCTGATAACAGAATAATGGTAATGAAATCATAAACCTACTAGAAACTTACATGCACAGTACAAGTGTGACCAGTCACATTTGTAACCACAACCCTCCAAGCACCACTAGCAACCCCAGCAGATGCCATCCAAAGCTTCACTTCCCACTCACAAACTCCTAGCCGGTACATTCTTACACCAACATTTTGATGGATCTCATGTGCCAGCTCTTCCAAGATGATTCCAACCACAGTTTCTTCTTGGCCAGCATCTATTTCAACTCTCCTGGAAATAATGTCTTGAAAGTGAGATAATGTGTAATGCATCAACTTGAGTACAAAGAAATAGTAAAAAATTCAGTATACAAATACAATTACCTGGTGTAAGGTAAAAGATCATCTACTTGTTGCTCCCGTAGGATGCAAAGGTACATATGGGCATGTTCAGATTTTACAGTATCATTGTGTACAAGTAGTTCCAGTTCTTCAAGTGCAGCTATCAAAGACCTCAACAGGCTCTTTGCAGTATAAGACATAGCTTGTTGGGCTTGGTTTATTCCAACATCCAGCCCTTGGTAAATTGAGAACCCTTCGCTTCCGTTAGGTTGTCTAACAAGAGTTCGAAGAAACATCCTATTAATGGGTGGTGGCTTGCCAATAACACTGTAAAGGTGCCACTGGCGATCCCTGGATGGGGTATACTGTATATTCTCATACCCTTTCAGCTTGTCCTGCATTGGAAAAATGTCAACAAACAGATTGATATCATCAGATCATCAGGCAGAATTGTAAACAAACTTTCTCAAGGTCAGTAAAATTACAATACAGACCAATTCAAGGAAAATAGATAGAGGAGGTTCCAAGTGTCGTAATAGAGGCTCTTCTTCATAATATAGCTTCTCAAGTGACCAATGAAAGGAGTGTCTCATGGGGGCCCTCCCTTCATCCCTCTGTATGATACAGCTAACAACCCCAACACCTGCAGCACGCAGATCCGAGCATACATCTTTGTCTTTTAGTATTTTGGCTAATTTATTAATTCTTTCCTGAGCCTGATCCTCGTCACCACTGCAAAGACATAAAAGAGAACACACATGAAAAGGGAACAGTGTATGCTTCAGGTTCAATGAATCAGATTGGCAATGAAAAATTTAAAACTGCTACATGCCTCAGTGCGAGACTGCTTCCAAGGGAGAAGAAATCTCAAGCGAGGGAATGCCAGAATGGTTCAGTTAATAAATAATGGAATATGATAGATGCACTTTATTTTCCTCCAATCCTTTCAACAAGTTATAAAACAACCTCTTGTAGCCAAATCCTTTTGATTTGTCAAATCAGATGTTTTAATTTGAACATCAACAGCATTTCACTCTGTGATTGTTGGTCTGAACATTGTAAAACTTATGAGTTTCAGGATTTTAATTGTTTGTATGACTCTTTCATCTGTGAGACAATAAAGTGGCAATGAACACTAAATGAAAAAGGACTGGTATATTTTTTATATGTTCTTTTTAGGTTCTCTTGATCTTTTATAGGTTCTTTTTAGGTTGCTACAAAGTGATTAAGCATCACAGGTTTCTCAAGTGCTGACATCAGACTACTACTAATGTAAGAAAGGTATAGCCAAGATACCTATCCTGAAGCAAACTCATCTGATTGTTGATGCCGACCAGGGCAACATGTAGCATGTTACCATGGCTATCTGGTTCTAGGTGCCCATTGGTCATCAATTCGTGAGGGCTATGATTGGTTTCCTTCAAAGCAGCACCAATAGCCATTGATAAAAACTGAAGGGACTTGATAATAACCATTGCTCCCCATTTCCTCACACTGTGTTTTTGAACCACTGGTTTTTCAGAATTGTGATCCTCGGACCCATTCCTTCTCTCATTATGTTCTTCAGAGAACTCCCAAGAAGCAATAAGACCAGATCTGTGCCACTGCATCCGGACACTCCCCTTTACAAGATATGGCTGAAAATAGATAAAAGAGTTAGATAGGCAATCATAAATGCAACTTTTTTAAAAGGAAAACGGAAGATCTTGAGGGTCAAAGTTGTAGTACCTGGTATAGCCTGCGAACGTAAGTCTCTACAACCCGCCTTTGAAGAGTGTGATCACTATGGTCAAACAAACCAACAAGGGCATCTTCAACAGCCAAAGGAGCACTAACAAGATCCTCCATCCTTTCATTTATGGCACTTTTCCTCCTAGGAGTATCTATATTTTCACCTTCCTCTGTGAACATCTCAAGCTCAGAGAGGCTTCTAGCAATGCTTGAACGGAGTTCACTGAGTTTGGTTTGTTCAAGTAGTTGGCTTGCCTTCAGTGCTAACTACAAAATGAGATTAACATTGCAATATGGATTTTAGGACATTTGTCTTTCAATTGCAAGGGTGACAATTTATTATAGAAATAGGAAAATCCAAAAATATATCTAAGCAAAAGGAGATAAAAAGGGCACATGATCAATTAAAAGATCATGTCTCCCTGTCTCACTGAAGAATTTTTATTGATTTTTAGCAAATTAATGTGGCCACCAAATCCATGTAGTCTCATATACTGGAAAAATGAAGTCTTAATAACTCGGTTGAGATTCAAACCTCAGAATAAACTGTATGGTTAAGAGCAGAGAACCGTATCAGTTGATCCCTATAAGCAGCAGGGTTGGGATACACCAACGCTTCCATTAGTCGAAGTATCAACTTATTTTTACTCCTCACACCCTATAAGACAGAAAATGACTAAACTATAAGAAAACTGTCTCAAAATAAACCAAGGGAACAAGCAAGCCAGTCTAGAATGCAACAATATACACTTTTGAGGTATCTATGGAAGCACTGATAACTGTTTAAGTTTTCAGAAAATACCTGATGAGAAAGCACAATGTCAACAACTTTCAGAAGATCTTTCTTATATTGAAGCCGTAGACGTTCAATGACATCAGCCTAGAGAAAATATATAAAAAAATGTTACAAGTCATTCACTACTCAGGGAAATGAAACAGAATTCAAGCTTTCAGGTTCCCTAATCAAGTTCTTCATTAGGCCCAATGTTTTGAACTAGCTTTGTGTATAGTACAGAATGCACCATTTAACCAAATATGAAAAGATATAATAAACTAGTAATTTACATACCTCAGCTTATGCAGCCTGGACAAATTTAATTATTAGGGGGACAAACATATTATTAATAATTTGAACCAACAAACGAATTGAAAAGAATACCATAATATATATATATATATATATATATATATATATATGTGTGTGTGTGTGTGTGTGTGTGTGTGTGTGTGTGTGTGTGTGTGTGTATAAGAGAGAGAGAGAGATTCTTTTCCCAAGGATGGGGAACAACCGTGTCAACCATAGGTGGCATCACAGCATACTTATTTTGTTATATTTCAAGGTAACTCGGTAGCAAGAAGAGGATTTGTTATATTTAGCTTGAGGTCAGTGAGAACCTCACAGAAACAAGGTTATTCTATAGTTTCATCCCCACTGTCTGATACATGACTAAAAGTGCACATGTCAACTAAGCACTCAAACACCAGTATTTCAAACATTTAGTGACAATAAGGTACATTTGGCACACATAAGCAAATCTAAGTTAACTATACAAGCACATTTGTTCCTACAGTATGAAACTATAGGCCTTTTATTTTAAGCAAATTTTCAATTAGAGTCCTTTTTGACTGTCGTTCTAAATAAATTCAGTGTTCACATAATTGTAATTGAGGAAATAACAATAACAAGAACAGAATGGGTTCATATTTGATGGAGAAGCCTACCTGGATGTTATCACTAAACAATTCTTCAACAGATAAGTATTCTTCAAACAGGGATTGAACAATAACACGGGCATGACTCTCTCTTCCACCCTCATAAGACTTCACAAGACTCATAAGAGGTTCCACAAGCCGCTCTTGTGTTGCTTTTTCTTTATCAGGGCAGGACAAGAGATGTGACTGCATTATAGAAAATATCAGATATGTATCAGAAAATGATATCTGCATAATGACACAAAACTGGGAGAATATAAAACAAGGAACCAACCTCAAGGATGCCCCTTAATAGCTTGGCTGGGAAATCAACATTTTTCTGGGAGCCTGTGATCCCTTCATACTCCTTATACTTAGAATCCAACTAATAGTCAAAAGAACATAGAAACTTGGCTCAGTATAAATTAAAGTTAAAAGAAACCATTCCAAAAGCTTAAAACCAGAGAGAAAAGTCAGGAGAGATAAACACCTCATTTCTCAGATCTTTGGGCAGACGGTTTGCCAGAACAGCCATGGACTCTTGCCACTGAAGGAAAGGGAGCTCTGGACTATCCAGACAGTTGAGCAAATCTTGCACAACCTGAAATAGATACAGATCTCCATGAAGTTAAACAAAATAAATGTTTCTCACAGGATGTGCTCTGTCATTTAAGGTTGAAGAAACATTGTTCAAAACGCTTATATCTGGATTGCTAATGTGCAAAATATGCAGGTTTTTACTTCAACAATGTTATGGTCGTAGCCTGCAAGAATCATCTGAGCAGAATTTAGACTTGCAGCACATCTCTGATGAACTTTTCCAGAAACTGCAGTTGGAGGTCCCAAAACTGGAAAGCTCCCATGGAATGGTTCTGCTTTTCTTACAGCTGATGGATCATCCAGATCAAGCCTTGCTATAAGGTCACCAGCCTGCACCAAAAGCAACTTGTAGAAGAAGGAAGGAAGAGAAACAAAGTTTAAACCTCATCCACTCAGGTAGAAAAAGGTTTACCTGCATTGCCTGGCCTTCGGGCATTTTAAAATGAATGATTCCAGAAGCAGGTAACAGAAGTGGCATGCACATCTTCATAACCTCAACTTCTGCATATGGTGTGTCAGCATCCAAATGACTGCCATCTGGAACTAGGAAACGAAGAAGCTTGCATGGTGTCTCTGCAACTAACTTGGATGGATCGTGATCATTCTGGAAAAAACAAGGATTTTAATCTCCTAGGTAATGCTTAATAAAGCCTAGATATAAAAAGAATGGTAATATTGGGTACCTGTAACAAACAGGTCCTTCCATCAATCAAAAGACGAGTACCAGCTGCCTCTTCCTCTGCATATATAACATGACTATTGCCATCCAACTGTGCAAAATATATATACTGTTAACACTGAAAAATAAAAATAAAAGATAGATAACTTCAAATCACAATTTCCACCATTGCTTTACCAATGCTATTAACTGAAATTTTTCAAAGAAAGATTATGGTTCGGTTTCTATTTCATAGATAGATCCAATATCTAGGAAATAATTTCTCTAACTCCTTTTCTTTGACCCACAATAAAATCAAATCCATCTACTGAATAGACAAACTAAATTAAGAAAATATAAAATCTAGTGTAACTTGCTTTGAAAAATATGAAAAGCATGTCAGGCATATAAAGACTCCTATATGAAAAATCTTGCCTTAATGAAAGTCTTACTCTCCACTATTTACCTTACCATTCTTTACATATTTCAAATACAAATAAATATATCTGATATGTTGTTGTCTGTTGAGTTTTGGGCTGATATAACATTTTTATTTACATAGCATAGTTAGGGAGTTATTGAGACAAAGGCCAATTAGTTTATGTTTTAAGTTAAGTGTTTTTTAAGTTCTCACAAGTAGGCAAGTAGCTGACTTACTAAGGACATACTTGTCTTTGTGCTTTCTTTTATTTATGAGTATATAATTTAATGGAAGGGGTGGCTAGACCTAATTCTAAGCTTCTCCCATTCTATTCTATCTCTCTTCTCTTTCTTTCTCAGTTGAAACCTTTTCTTCTTCTTTTCCTCTTTATTTTACAGTTTTTATATCAAAACAGGTTGTCCAAACTTTCCTACTCAATACAACCAGTTCCAACTCATTATCAAGTGGACAGCAAGGTGCAAGTGGATCAGGAGGTAGTCATTCTACTTCATTTGCACATACAGGTAGTTCACATGCCATTGCAAATTATGTATCCTCCACAGGTAAGGGGGACCTCCTTGGATTATAGACTCAGGAGCCTCAAAACATATGACCAACATTTCCACCATTTTCACCTCATACCACCTCTGCTCTGGCAGAGATAGAGTTTCCACAGCTGATGGATCACATGTTCCCATGGCTGGGAAAGGGTTTGTCAGGATAACCGATACCATTACCCTACCTTCTTCTATCCTTCATGTTCCTAGACTGAGCATTAATCTTTTATCTGTTAGTATCTTGACAAAGAATTTGAACTGTTCAGTGATTTTTCCCCTGATCATTGTGTTTTGCAAGGTCTAGAATCAAAGAGGACGATTGGGAGTGGTCGTGAGGTGAATGGAATCTATCTTCTTGATGAGCTTTCTAGTCATCAAAGTCATCATGTTAGCAAGAGTATTGAGTCAAAATCAGTAGGTTAGATTATGCTTTGGCATAATCAATTAGGACATTTGTCTTTTGCTTCTTTATGTTTTTTGTTTCCAAAATTGTTTGATCCTGTCAATTTGTCCAGTTTGGAGTGTGATGGTTGTCAACTTGGAAAGCATTATAGACATTCCTTTAAAGCAAGTAACAAAAAAATTTCTTTTGTTTTTTATATTGTTCATACTGATGTGTGGAGGCCATACCATGTTTCCTCTATGGGTGGATATCAGTATTTTCTTCTATTTGTGGATGATTATTCTTAGTACTATTGGATATATTTGATAAAATCCCATGATGAGGTACTGTCTTTGGTTTAACAATTCCATCAGATGGTGCTGACATAATTTGGGGTACAAGTGAAAGTGTTTAGATCAGACAATGCCAAGGAATACTTTGAAAAAAAAAAAAAAACTGGCATCATACCTATTAGAGCATGAAGTTGTCCATCAAAACAGTTGTACATACACTCCACAACAAAATGGTGTAGAAGAAAGGAAGAATAGACATATTGTGGAAGTAGTAAGAAGCATGATGTTGAGCTCTACAATTCCAGTTCATTTTTGGGGTGATGAAGTTCTTACAGCAGGTTTCTTGATTAACCGAATGCCTTCTCGTGTTCTTCGATATAGCACTCCGTTCATCCTTCTTTTTCCTAAGGGTGTTTGGGTGTGTATGCTTTGCCCATGTTCTTGGTCCTCACCACTCAAAACTCGACCCTAAGGCAAAGAAGTGTGTTTTCCTTAGGTATGCAAGAAATTAGAAGGGGTATTGTTATTGTGATCCAGTCTCCGGGAGTCAATATGTTACTATGGATGTCACCTTTTTTGAGTCCACACCTTTTTTTCTTAGGGGGTTCTTCTCAAGGGGAGTGTTTCGGAGAAGGAAGTGAGCAATCTATACCACTTCCTGTTCTAGCTCCTTTGTCTACTCCAGTGTCTGACCTACCTATCTCACCCACTTTGCCACCTCCATTGCGTCCTCTCAGTGTTTTACACGACAGCACATGGAGGTTGAATCCACAGCAGAGGAACCCACATCACTCCCTATCGGCTAATCGGAGATTCCAAGTTTGACTGATAAAGACCCCAGGTATGCCTCTTGTTTCCCTTGATGGTTTAGTTCCCATTAATACTACTACCCCTGGTCCTAACACCATTGCATACGACCTTGATCTCCCTATTGCCCTCAGAAAAGGGAAGAGAAAGTGTAATGCTCATTGCATCTCACACTATCTTTCCTAGAATGGATTATCCCCTTCCTACCGAGCCTTCTTTTCCTCCCTTGAATCTGTGTCTACACCCAGGAGTGTTAGTGAGGCTCTCTCCAAAGTGGAAGATAGCTATGCATGAAGAAATGGAAGCATTGATTAAAAATTAGACATGAGAGATTGTGAATTTGCCTAATGGCAAGGAGATAGTTGGCTGCAGATGGGTCTATACAGTGAAGTACAAGGCTGATGAGAGTATAAAATGGTACAAGGCAAGGCTGGTTGCAAAAGGGTATACTTAGACTTATGGCATAGATTACTTGGAAACTTATGCACCAGTGGCAAAGATGAGTTCAATCCGGATTCTTCTATCACTAGCAGCTACATACTCTTGGTCACTCTTCCAACTTGATATGAAGAATGCCTTTCTCAATGGGGACTTGCAAGAGGAGGTGTATATGGATCTTCCAGCTGGTTTCTACAATAATGTGGAAAAAGGAAAGATATGCAGGTCGAAGAAGTCTCTATATGGTTTAAAGCAATCACCCAAAGCTTAGTTTGACAGGTTTAGAAGTGCATTGGTTGTATTTGGCTATACTCTAACTCATTCTGATCTCTTTTTATGAAGAGGAGGGGGTCACTAGTGTCAGTTTTGATAGTGTATGTGGATGACATTGTAGTCACAAGAAATTATCTGAGTGAGATTGATATCCTAAAGAAGAATATGCACAAAGAGTTTGAGATTAAGGATCTTGGGGAGCTGAAGTACTTTCTGGGCATTGAAGTGGCAAGGTCCAAGCATGGGATCTTCATCTCATAGAGGAAGTATGTTCTAGATCTACTACAGCAGATAGGAAAACTTAGGCAAGGGCAGTTGATACACCTATTGCTCAGAACCATAGGGTAAATGCTTCAGAGGGTGAACTAGTGAAGGATGTTGGAAGATATCAGAGGTTAGTGGGGCGGTTGCTATACTTATGTATGACATGACCAAACATCTTTTATGTAGTGAGTGTGGTGCGTCAATGCATGCATGCCCCACAAGTTCAGCATTGGGAGGCTATTGACAAGATACTTTCTTATTTGAAGGGACACCCCAGGTAGAGGCATATTGTTTGCTAACCATGGGTAGTTGAAGTTAGAGGCTTACACAAATGCTGATTGGGTAGGGTATCTAGATGATAGGAGATCTACATCAAGGGTTTGTACTCCTGTTTGAGGTAATTTAGTTTCATGGAAGAGTAAGAAACAGAGAGTCGTGACAAGGTCAAGTGCAAAAGCTGAATATAGAGCCATGGCATATGGTGTTTCAGAGCTCCTCTAGATCCGTTCCTTGTTAGGGGAGATTGGAGTTGAGGCCGAAGAATCTATGATGCTATATTGTGACAATTAAGCAACAATTAACATTGCCCACAACCCAGTTCAGCATGATAGGACGAATCATATAGAAGCAGATAGACACTTTATAAGGGAAAGGGTGACATTCGGAGAAATTTGATTGTCATATGTTGCATCTGACTTGAACTTGCTGATGTTCTTACAAAACAGTTGCAAGAAACAAGCTGGAGCATGATCTACACAAGTTGGGAATGTTTGACATTTTTTCTCAACTTGAGGGGGAGTGTTGAGTTTTGGGCCGATATAATTTGTTTTTATTTGCATAACATAGTTAGAGAGTTATTGGGCCTTAGGCCCATTAGTTTATGTTTTAAGTTAAGAATGTTTATTAAGCTATCACAAGTAGCCGACTTACTAAGGGCATTCTTGTCTTTGTACTTTCTTTTATTTATGAGTATATAATCTAATGAAAGGGGCAGCCAGACCTAATTCTGAGCTTCTCCATTCTCTTCTATCTCTCTTCTCTCTCTTTCTCAGCTGAAACCTTTTCTTCTTTCTTTTACAGTTTTTATATCAAAACAGGTAGTCCAAACTTTTCTACTTTGTCATTATTATTACCAAACCATGCAGATGTTTTACATGATAATTCTGGTGGAATAAGCGCTTCTATATCAAGGAGTATGTCTATGTCCAAATTAAACTGTGGGAGTTTAGAAGTTGCGGATGATACAGTGAGCAGAAATAGCATGAGCAACTCAGCAATGCATGTTGAATGTTACTGATGTTAAGAAGTTTAATTAAATGTTAAAACCAGATCTACAAAAATTAACAATGCAACTTAGATGTTAGCCATGTTTAACATTTATAGCAAAAGAGAATGGATATGAATGATAAGTCAAACCGAATGCTTGCCTGCATCAGTAGCCCCCCATCACGCAATGTATGTATTTCTGCTTCTATCTCTGATTGATTCATCCTCAATCTATAGCTTCCAGGTCCTCCCCTCACCATTTCAATCTAGGGAATAAGCCATCAAAAGTTAGTTGAGTAATAAAAAACCTAACAAGGTAAAAGCTTTAATCGTGTTCAGATAAAGATAAAAGGAGCCTCCATAAGACTATAACCAAAGTAAATATGTGTAAGTTTACCGTATATTTGCTTCCTTCAATGTTCAAAGAAACTTGAGAATTGACGAGGGATATATGCTGTAAGTAAGGAGGGTTATGTTAACTATTATTAGCACATATAACAAAAGAAAATGCATAAACTGAATATCTCAGGCAGATTATGGTATAATTTGTTACCTTGGGTGGGATTTGCCCCTTTTCAAGATAACCAACATAATCAGAAACCATTGATGCACTGCTAGTTGATGCTTTCTATAGAAGAGAAAATTGGAAGAAAAAGGACATATTAATAATGCTCACACCCTTTAAAACAAAAAAGAAGGCACATTCTAACAAATAGACTGGAGAAAAACTAAGTTAAATTTGTTGTTCTTACAAAGAGTGCCCCTCCAACAACTGAAATGTACCAAGGAGGCCTCTCTGCTCTAACCCGCATGGCAATTCTGCTGTCCAGCCACCCTGTATGGATCTTGTTGTCTCTGTACTCCAAAGCCTACAAGAAAAAACATCTTAGCATTTTCTGATTTACTGTGAGACTAGATTCTAATTATGATGATAAAAGAAAAATAATATCATAATGAATCAGAATATTACATGTAAAAGATCAATTGTGTAATCAACATTCGTATGAATTTCTCCCCGGATTTGGATTTCCTTTAGCCCAAGAACCATGTTTGCAATAGCTAAGGGTCTGGACTCTCCAAAAGCAAAGACATGTCCTGAGATATAAATTAATGATTTAGCAACCAATGAGTGTAAAAAGAAAAGGTATTCAGATTGTATGTCTAAGAACAGAAGCCAAAAAAGTGCAAGCAAATCAAATTATTGCAAAATGGGACACCCTCAGTCAATTGATAATTCGAGTTAGTAAATTAAATAATAGGACATAACATAAACAACAAATTATGAGAGAAAACAGGAAAAGATTAGTGTTAAGGAATAAGCATTTTCTGAAGGTTTTAGATGGGCATAAAAGACTTCCAAAAGGTTTTAAAGCAATTAAATCCAGAGAAAAATCATGATTTTATTATTTTCCTTTTTTTTATGAAATAACAACTTGTATTCATTTCCAATCATAAAAAGAAAAACAATGTCCCCGAACTGCCAAAAAGAACAGGAGAAACTATTACATCCAAGAACAGCTGACCATCTGATGGTACAAATAAAAACTATATAATGTGTATACAATTCAGAACCTGGCCCTAGTAAACACCAATAAAATCCTTGATTTTCTTTGCCTGCCTTAGCTAAGCTGTCAGCTAAGGAGTTAGCCAACCTGGGAACCCACTTGAACAAGCAATTCAATCTGTTCCCAAAAACTTGGGATTTCTTAACCAAAATCCTAAACCTCCAAGGTGGTTCCTCAAGAGCATTCAGACATGAAATAGCAGTTAGATAGTCAGTTCCACATCCACATCCCTCCAGCTTTGGTGAATTGACAGTTTAAAGCCCTAAATGACAGCAGTTATCTCTGCTGTCAAAGTCACTCTGCAACCCACATTTCCTGAAGTTTACTATTTACTTTTCCATGTTTAAGTCATATTAAGACCCAATTGAATTTCTACAGTTGAGTTAAAATAATCAAATTTCTTAGTGGATTTGATGAATCAAGCAATCTCAGTTTCTTACATGATCGACTCAGAGAAGTCAAATCTACCATTCAAGTTTCTGAGAGGATCATCCTCTAGTTATAGAACTAAGAGAGAAATATTACCAAATTGAGAATCTGAGAATTCATGAATTCCTCCTCCAGACTGCAAATCATAATTGTCATAACATCAGCCACTATTCCTTATGAACCTTAAGCATAACAGCCAATCCATCCTCATATAGTTCCATGGAATTTATACCTTAACAGAGAAGTATGCCCAGACATTTGGTTTACTTTTAAAGTTCAGTTCCTGAAAGAGTCAAATGAACTCTACTCATCAGAAAGGTGAAATGGAGTACTATACAGTTGATAGTTGTTGCAATTCAAAAATCTAACCTGCACTTTCCCACTGGTAGGTTTAAAACCATCATCTGGGTCCTCACTTGTTACACGTACAGCTACACAATGTCCTTTTGGCCTCACAGACTCTGCCTTGTCAAAATCAAATGGGGTGGCAAGAACTGATGTTCTCTTCCAAGCATCATATCCTCCACCATGTTCCATTCCATAAAACCGCCTTATTTCTAGTTATGACATGCATGGTGAACCAATATGTGCTGAATAAAGGACCATGACTAAGAAGAAGGGATAAAAAGAAATTTGTAGAATCTACAAGCATACCAGGAATTTGCCAGAGAGGAATACCCATGCCAACTGAAACTTGTGCTGCAGGCAGATTTATTTCAGCTATCCACTCAGTGACAGGATGTTCCACCTAAAATAGAGTAGTAGATAATTAACATCAAAACAATCACATAAAGGCCAAAGAGACTTGTATATCCAACAAAGCCAGGTCAATTTACACAAGCACATGAAGATTTGCTTAAATATTGTATAAATATGGCATGTGGGTGCATGTCTCTTCTGGGCATATGCATGGAAGTAATGGGCATCTAAGAGACCCATTGATCAATTGATTTAACCAGGATATTCTTAGTGGACAAAGAGATATTATATAAGGTATAACATATCTGATTCATAGCAAGGGGCACCTTTTATGTTCAAACACTGGTTTAACATTAGCAATCAGAACCATGCCAAGTGGCACCTTTTATGTTCAAACATTGGTTCTTCCATTGCAGAGCCATGTCAGCTTAAACCTGCACTACCAAAAAATATGAAACATGACTAGAGTTCTAATTTTGCAAATAATGGAGAACATTTTGACACATGAAGGCATGGTTTGAGTGACTTATATATAGGGCAGAAAAGTGAATAGTACTCGACTGCTAGGCAATATGGGACTTCCCCACTCCTATTTCTAGTAAAGAAGGTTAGTACTTTTACTCGTCACCCAAGTCAAACCTCTTCTTTGGCCAAATAATGAGACTTCAAAACCACCCATGTTAGACCTCTTTTCTTACTTCCTATTTCCCTCACTTTTCATCTATATCAACTTACAACTAGTGCATACAATTTTCTCTCTTTCAACTTGAACTTACATTATGAACATAAATACTCTACATACACATACATATAAATGCTCCACAAATGCTCCAAATATTAGGAGAATTCCAACTTTCAAGCTTGATATTCCTACCCACTCCATGAATTGGTTATTTGGGTCAGAACCGTTCATTTTTCTCACTCTCTAAGGTTGAGATCAGGTTGATGGTTTGAATCATATAACTTGGTTAATTCCTCCATCTTAACACAAGCAAATAATGATGCACCCTTAAATACAATAACACAACTTACTGTCTTTAATGTCTAACATACATGTACTACTACAAACCTGTAATCGAGGGTTGAGTTCTAAGAAATAGTATTCGCCAGTGTCCATGCTGTATAGATACTCAACGGTTGCAGCACCAACGTAATTTACACACTTAGCTAGCCTCCTTGCTGCTTGTTCCAGCTCCTTCACTGTCCCCCATGGTGCTACAGTAATTGGACCTTCTTCAATAATCTATTTAGCATAAATGATAATGTTAACACCTTATGGTGAAGATATTTTGGTTAAAAAAAAACCAGAAAAAAAACAACTCCCCACCAGAAGAAAGTCGTAAAAATGAAATAAGAAGAAAATGGTTATAAAAATCACCCACATTGAACGAAAGCATATAAGGAAAAACCACCTTTTGGTGCCGCCTCTGAACACTGCAATCACGACTATGCAGGGCAGCAACATTGCCATATTGATCACAAAGTAACTGGACTTCTAAATGACGGCTCTAAATGAAGAAACAAGTTTACTGTCAAGGCAAGATTAACTTTTGGAACTGCAAGCTTTTTAGGGTAAATAAGTTAACCAGATGAAAGGTTGATGGTCATACCTGGGAAGCAACCTTCATTATAAATATTGGAGAGCCAGGAACTTCACCTTGGACTTGCTTGAATAATGCCCTCACTTCGTCATCATTATGAACCTAAAAATTTTTAAAAGTGGATATATTCATATTCCATTCAAAGTTTGAAATGAGACTTGAAGAACTTCAAACCAAGTTATTCAATATGCATTTAGAATTAAAAAAAAAAAGATTTTTCTTGAAAATTTGTTGCTTCAAAAATAATGGTGATAACATCCTGCATGAGAAACTCATTGTTGTCAAGGATGAAGCTGACCTTTCTAATGCCTTTACCACCACCACCCCAAGATGCTTTGATCATTGCAGGGTAGCCCACCACCTGACAGCTTGCCAGCGCCTCTTCTGTTGTATAAACACAAGCTTCCCGATAGATATCATCTGGTATAGAATCCAAACAACTTTCTGGTGGAATTTTTACCTGGAAGAGAAAAGTTTTAAGTGTTAGACACTGATTAACCCCATGAAGCAAAAAATCAAACAAAGCACATAATGAAAATTACGTGTGAGCCACTCCATGGAAGGGTTGGTACGCCTGCTGCTTGAGCAATTAGGGATGAACCAATCTTATCTCCCAATGCTGCCATAGGTGCAGCAGGGGGGCCAAGAAATATAATTCCCTTTGCATTTAGTGCATCTGGAAGTTCAGGGTTCTCTGATGCATGACCCCAACCAGGCCAAACTGCATTAACACGTGTTATCTCTGCAATCTGTTAATGACCAAAAGTTAGATTAAAAAAAGTTGAATATTTCCCCTCCCTTTTTGGATAGGGAAGTTCAACACTGGAATAATCAAACTGTCAAATAACAGCAATGGGATAGAAAAGCAACAACGACCAACAGGCAACAATCATTTGATAAAAATCAAAACATATGCTTCAACATCTAGATAATGAATTCTTTCAAATAACAGCCATTTTATTAATTTTACATTCTCTGATTCTCTCGTACTTTCCTTTACATATATATCTATAAAAGTAGAAGTGTATTAGTCAGATGTAATTGACACAATTTGCTATACAAGAATTCTATTAGTTAGAGAACCATTGATCCTGCAGGGCTTTTCAGTAGAGCTCAGTATTCATTTGTCAACTAAAAGAACAAACTAATAGTGTAAACAGAATACATACCTCTACAATGAGCTGCACGTTGGCGTAGTTATTATTATTGGTCCCACCTGGAACTTCCACAAACTGGTCAGCAATCCTAATGTGCTCTGCATTGATTCTCATGTCCTCTGGGGTTGCCATGGCCACCAACAGGATTGCCTTCTCTGAACCAAAGGTTTGCAAGGCCCATGATCTCACACTACGTATAAACTTCACTGCTGCCATTCCATTGTTTGCAATTAAGATACTATGGATTGGAGTCCTCCCACCGAGGGCATAGCAGAAATCTTCCACTTCAGATACTGTAGCTTGTTGCCTGATTGGAATTGCTCCATTTAGGACCCCATTCCCACGCCAAATTCCAGCCATTGGTGGAGCCTTTTGGGCGTTGGACATGCTGTATCATCAGAAACTCAGCAATCAACAAAACCAAAGATTTGATACTTCTTGAACAACTTATTAATCAAATTTCCCTACACTGGATTGCTTAAAATGATCTTCTTTCGATAAAGTTAGTAACTGATGCTAGCACTTGGTAAATAGTGAGCGAAATTAACAAAAGAAAAGCTGAACAGCCCTTCAACGATAGAGCTGAAATAAAGAGAAATCCATATTAAAATTACTAAAAGAAAGGGGAAAAATAAATTAAGAGAAACGGCAAGAAGAGACTTCCCGTACTTCATAATCAGAAAAACAGAGCAATTGAACAGATAATATTCCAAGGGAGCAACTGAGATCTCCAAGTCCACAGATAACTAAACTAGTTTTAGATAACGCAAACACCTTAACTAAATACTATTTCGTGGAGTACGAGTAATTCCGATACTCTTTAGTTGACACAACAACTCCCAACCCCAAAAGCCGGAAGAGAAACAATGACAACAGACCCAAAACAGGAAAAAGAATAAAGGAAACAACCAAACAAGAAAATTAACTAAATCAGAAACAAAGATGAAGAATTGAGTAAATTGTACCTTAGAGAATAACAAGTGAAGCACAAAAGGTCAAGTAAAATTTCTTCTGTTGCTTTGGATCATAAGATGCATTATGAGTTAGAAAGCAGGCAATAACCGAACAAGCCCATAATGTCTGTGTTGTGTTCGTGTTTGAGAACGCTTCATCTTTGGAAATGCATAAGAGAGGGAAGGGGGTGTTAACGGCTTTAATGAGAGCTGCACGTGTCACCTGCCTACCTGTATTCTTGTAGTAGTTCCCAACTACCTCACTTTCTCTCTCTCTCTCTCTCTCTCCTCCCCCACCCAAACGGCCCAACTCCAGAACAAAGCTCCCACCTTTTTCCCTCCCTCTCTTTCTCCCGCTAATCTCAATCCGAACGACAAACAAATAAATTAAATCCCATGGGCCATGGTCTATAAGGCTCCCATATTTCATCGGAAACCCCATTTTTTCGGGTGGCGTATCTTGACCGTGAGGTGGGTGATGTAGTCGACCAACCCTTCCCTCCTTAAGAAGATGCAAAGAGGACAGACAAATAGACAGCTAGTTTGATAACCAAAATTCTCAACCTTATCAAGGATATTTCGATAAACTTTCCTTCTCCTCTCACCTTGAATTCACACTCTCACTAGATCATATCACAGTAAACAAGAGAGAGAGGGAGAAACTGTAACTGCATATTTGAAATTGACAGCATTGACCATGTATTTTAAATATAGCTGGCGAAATGGGAAGGCGATAGAACACATGGTCATTAAATTTGTGTTGTCCAAAGCTTCATCCATAAATGTGAATAGGAAGATGGTTCAAGCTTTAATCTTCTGCTCTTGTATCTGGGTACCAGTGAATTTGATTAATAAAAATGCAGACAGTTTAGTTATGTGGTTAGGTCAGTTGGGAGTTAGGTACACCCATGCCTTCCTCACCCCCCTCCCTCTCCCCTGTCCCTACTGATTGTGGCTCAAATTTGAAGAGCACAAATAAATGGGTGGTGGAAATTAAGGTGCTGACGTTCATGGGTTATGGCTTGGGTTAGGTTGGATGGTGAGAATAAAGGAAGTCCCTTCGAAATTTTATAGTTCATACTAGTTGGCTATGTTGGGAAAATGAAACAAAAGACCTTCTTGACTCAGTTGCTGCTGAAGATGTTGAGAGTTAAGGCAATATGTCTTGTATTAATCGCGTTCATGTTTTCTGCCATAAACTTCACAATCACATGACTTCCCCCCGATGGTTAAACTATACTGATTTAATAGAGCGTGCCTCAAATATAAAATGTACTACGTGAAGCTGTGTGAACTAATTTGACGAGTGAAGAGACTCAGAGAACATAGTCAGACACTCGTACACAATCATTAATGGGGGCTAACGGGGGCATGGCCAATCCCAAAACCAGTTGAATGGTTGAAACTGGAGTGATCCAACTTCCCCTCCTTTAATTTCTTTTTGGGGCTCAGATCGATCAAGTATTCTGAAAAGCAATTGATCTCAGATAAGGTACTTTTCAACCAACCAGATTTGCACAGATAAATAACCTGAGGAAACCTATGTCGCCTGTACTTAATCCAGATGAGTCAACTGAGGTAAGGTCACTTCATACTAATGATTTAACTTAGAGAGTATTGAGACATTTTTTTAATTTCCCTTTTTGTCTTTCCCACTCCAGCAGCATGCATAGAGTCATATACTGATATAACTACCAGTAACAGTAAGTATTTGCTCAGTTTATGCATTATCCACCAAAGAATGACAATGACTAGAAAGCTTTTAAGTCATAACATGAGGAGACTACAGTAGTCAGTAATTCTAAAGTTCATTTAGCATTTAATTTTCACGTTTTTGAAGCTCCTCTGCTCAAGCATTCTAATGCAAGAGGAAAGGTAATATAAGATTCACAGTTTAAACTACTTTCACATAAGTCAGTCCATCCAAATAAGTTGGAGTAGTTATTGCTCCATGATTACATTGATGTCTTTTTTTTTGGCAGAAGAAGAGACGAAAATTCACATAAGCTAGTGTTGATGTTTGGACGCATAGAAAGGTAGATGCGTGAAGTGATGTGGATCAATTGCAACCAAGTATGCTTGAGCCTGACATAATCAATGATGAGTTTGAATTCCTTCAGTCTGTGAGAGATGTTATGAAGTGATCTGGGCATGTGGGTGATGGGTAACTGGTGAGCAAAAGAGGGTTCATTGAAGCACTTAAAACTGCACCAGAAGAGAATCTAACTGAAGAACTAGGAAAAGGATGACAAGAACCATCTAAAGACCTTGAACTTGACCAAAAGAAAAAATAATAATGGAAGCATCTTTTAATTATTTATTGTAATGTGATATGATTATTGATGGTTTTTGGGACTCTTTTATCAGATGGTTATAGGATTATAGCTCATCTCTTCATTTTGAATTTTTGCCAGTTATTAGTCAAAGGAACATTCCGACATTTGAGTTGTTCAGAATAACAAATATTATATATATATGTAATCAGTGAGAAATTTCTTCAGATCATAGACATGTTTGAATGTAAGATTACATTAATGTTGCTTTAGATCAAATCCAGTACAAGAATAACTTTAATTTACATGGGTGCGGTTAGGTGGGAGTACTTAAAAAATTTGAAAGGTCAACTGGTCTGTTACTGATTACTCTTTTAAAAAGCAATATGTCAGTGGATTTCAGTTCCTGCTGACAGAATTGATGATATTAGAAGAAGAGTACTAACGTTGTATAATGTACATTTGTAGTTATGGAATGGTTGGTGTGTTGTTGGTAACGCTCTGAAGCAATGACTAGGCTGTAGAAAGCCACGTTACGTACCAAAAGCCTTTATTAATTATTAACAAGTGCGGGGGGTTGGTTAGCGAAGATGTGGCCAGAAAAGCTTCATACGTAACGTAGGGATTGCAAAGGTACCTTATCCTCTGTGCAATCAAGGCGGTGCACTTAATACACCTAACTCTACACCTACCTCAATGGCCGTTGCAACTCTTTATCTCCCTTGCCTACTATTAAAATTGGTAATTGTAGAATATTCCTTTGCGCATTTTATTTCTTAGCTTAACACACTACCCTTTTTCTACCAACTTCCCTTTAGTTAATTTTTTTTTTTCTGGCCATAAAAACCCTAGAATATGAATTCTTTAATTTTGTCTCCTACGTACTACTAGGTAGTGCAGGATGGGCGGGCTTAATTCAAGTTCGGACCGATTCGACATTCAATTTTATACGAATTGGGCTTAGATTTTTGGTCCTTTTCGAGTGCAAGACTTAATTTTTTTTTATTTTTCGGCTTGAATCCAGACTTAGGTGATGTTTGATAAATTTAAAATTTCATATCTGAAAAGTTAAAAAGGTATTTTTTGTGTCTGAAATCTGAAAAGAAGCATACATGTTTTTTAATATTTTAGAGGCTCTAAATTCATAAGTTTATTTGTGTTGGATCAACGTTTTGCCATCTGAAATTTTCAATATCAAAATAATATTGAAACAATAGAAATAAAAAATAATGAATTAATAAATGAAATAATTAAAATTAAAAATGATTAATGACTATAAAAATATTAAATTAATTAATAATTTATAATTTATACAAATAAAAATTAAAATAATTTTTAATAATTAAAAATAACTAGTTAATAAAAATAATTAATAATTAGTAATGTTTAATAAAAAAATAATTATTAAATATTAATAATTAATAAAAATAAAAACAACTAATGTTTAATAAAAAATATTAAAATAACTAATAATTTATAATTAATAATATTATTATTACTACTCACCGAATTGTCATGGCGATGGCGGGAATATAGGAGAGCGACACAAACAGACAGAGAAAGTGCAGCAGCGGTGGTGGTGATGGAGCTTCGTTAGGTCGAAGTGAGGGTTTGGTTCAAGTTACATGAAGGACAAAAACATGTAATATTAAAATTTCTTTGAGGGCATTTATGTCTTTTATGCACCTCTCTATTACATCTGAGCGCATTTAAGTGCCAAGCTATGAACTTAAAATTTCATATCTGAAAATAGATTTTAGATCAATTTTCAATGCATTAAGTGTCAGGCTACGAACTTAAAATTGCCATCCCTACGCTGAATAGCTAAAGCATTTAGATAAACCTTTCTTGATTTAGATTATCTAAGGGTTAAGGCTTCATTTAATAACACTTTTCAGATTATCAAACGAAGCCTTAACCCTTACATAATCTAAATCAAGCAAGGTTTAGCTGAATGCTTTAACTATTTAGCGTAGGGATGGCAATTTTTCCCATCCCCGACTGGGACTTGATTTTCCCGACCCGATGGGTTGGGGATGGGGATTGTTTTGGTAAGGCAGGGATGGGGATGGGGATTAATAGGAATCCCCAATCAGGGTTGGGATCGGGGTTGGGGATGAGGATTGAGGTCCCCACCCCGCCCCGACCCTGATATATTATTTACATTATATATATTATTTATAATTTAAAATTTTTATTTATTTTAAGTAAATTTATTTTCAAACAAATACTATTATCTAAAAAAATTTCAAGGATTCAGGTCCCATGGGAAATCCATCCCCGTCAGGGATCGGGGATGGAAGATAAATTTTATCCCCAGTGGGAATCAAAAACAGAAATAAGAGTTAATTTCAGAATCGGAGGTGGGGACGGGGAATACATCCCCACCCCAAACACACCCGTTGTCATTCCTAATTCAGCGTGCTGTATGATTTCACACCAGTATTAAATATATGAAACCCATATTTCATATTTTTTTACATAGCCCATAAATTTAGAACCAATCATTAGTTCCACAACCTATTGAACAAGTAAAACATTCAACTAATCCAAATTTATCCAAACCTAATGGAATTATTGACCAACCCGAGCCTAATTCAAATCAAAGCCCAACCTAAATACTTTAAATTACAACGTAAGCTGAAGTCAGATGAAAAAGATCGAACTTGACTTTAGACTAGAACTAGGCCCATGCCTTAGGCTCAAATCATAGCTTTGGCTTGGATTGACCGTAAACCCAGGCCAACTTGCACAGGAAGTCACTTTCTTAATTTCTTGTCCACGTAAATGGAGGATTTAGAGGAGGACAAATGGTGACCTAATAATCAATTTGTTACAAGGAAGAATCCTTTCCTGTGTGAACTCCTTTCCTCCAAGGCCAGAAGACAAAATAACGGGCGCCACGTTGAAGCACATTTCTGGCCCAGAAGCGTTAAAATATATTCTTCTTTCAACCTAACTTTGGTATGCAAGTTTAATCTTCATTTGATAGAAAAGACTCAACTCAACTAGTTACA